TCTTTTCTTAAAGAGTTGCCCTTTGATGTCACTTCCTGTTTCACTTTGCTGAGCCAAATTCAAGAGAAAAATATACCAGTTATGAGAGAAAATGGGTAAAATCATGTGTATTATGCTAATTTTCTTAAGTATAAATGTTTTCTTTGACTTTTTGTATTTGAAGGATAAGCATGTCACAGGCCCTTTAAGAAGCTAGAAAAGACCTGCTGTTTCTCACCAAAAGATGGGGCTTTCCCCGGGGTTTGCCACTTGATAGTAATCTTTGCCCTGCGGTATCATTTTGGTCAGGCCGAAGTCGCCGATCTTAACCCTCATCTCGCTCTCAACCAGAATGTTCCTGGTGGCCAGGTCTCTGTGAACGTAGCGCTTAGTGCCGAGGTAGTCCATACCCTGTTTGAAAGATAGAATCAGCACCAGGGGCGGAGCTAGACTTTTTGTTTACAAGGGGTGGCCAAGGTGTTTTTTTAGGGGAGGAAACATACAAAAAAAACCTACTCAATTTGGAAATTCAAGATGGCCACCACCACTAATTTTTAATTAAATCTAAATTAGCTGTTTCAAGAAATATTAAGCTGATATTTCACGTGATCCTAGCTAGGAATGATGCAAAACACATGTCAACTGCTAGTCCCTATTTAAGCTAACCGCTAAAGCAAATTTAACATAGGCTGTGTCCAAAACGGCAGGCTGGGTCCTCCGAGGGATCCAGTCTACCCGGTCGAGGTGGGCCGGGTCCTCAGTAGACCAGGAAGACCGGAAAAAAGTGGCTGTGAATTTGGACGGTCTAGCCTCCCGTCTTTACCCCGGCGTACGTCATATCGCCTAGCAAACGTGACGATGCTAAACAGAAGCAAACTTAGATCGGAATTAAAAAATATCAATATATTAGCATTATTAATATCACAAAACAATTAAAATTAACTTAAATGTAATATTTTTAGACCTAACGGACCCGCCGTAGGTGCACGTTTATTTCACTTTTTTTTCTGACAAAAATAATATTTAAAAACACATCTACACAAATGAAAAAGTATTAACAACACAACTGCTTGAACATTTTAATTCTTAAAATGCATTCTTTTCTCTCGCTTCGTCTGCCATTACTAGCAAAAAAAAATCTCCGGTTGGGCCGCAATGCATTGTGGGATATGTTGGGCCGGAAAGGATCCATCGGACCAGTCCTTCGATTCGGGCCAAAGGACGGACGCATTTGTTGGCCACATCGGAGGAGTCTTCGGTTTTGAACAGCCTTCGTTGTGGTGCTGTGACGAATGCAGCCAATGAATTCAGCCTTCGGAAGACCCGGCCCACCGTTTTTGACACAGCCAATGAGTTATAATTCGGCCATTTTTAGATTAAAAAAACAAACTGAAAATGAGTTTAGAAGCACCAAATTCTAAATACTAATAAAAAAGTTCAAGATGGCCATCACAGTTAAGTTTAAATGGCTATAATTTAGCCATTTTATTTTATTGAGCTGAAATTTGTTGTGGTGTAGCAAACAATGATCCCAAACACATGCCAACTGCTAATCCCAACAAAGCTATATGCTAATGCTATTGCTAAATCTACATTGGGCTATGATTTAGCCATTTTTAAACATAGACAACTGAATGTCTTGATGCATCTCAGTAATCCAGGTAGAAAAATAAAAGTTGAGTACGTTCCCTGGACAGTTTCTTCTTTAATGATACATTTCTTCTCTCCTCCGAGAGACCTCTTCAGTCTGAGGAGTTTCAGGTGAACTCAGCCTTATAAGCAGCGTCTCCACATGGTGGACAAACTTAACTTTTTTTATAAACAACTGAAAATGAGTGTAGCAGTAGCCAAGAAACAATCTTTAACAAAGTCTGAATTCAAATCCAAAATCCAAGATTTGCCACCCGAGCCAAATTCAAATGTGTATAACTCAGCTATTTTTAGACATATTCAGCTGAAATTTGGTGTGGTGGGAGCTGCGATCACCAAACATAGTACAGTCAAGTCTGTTTAAAATAGTAGCTTCTTGGCCAAACTCATCAAAGTTTCTCAAGTAACTTTTCAGGTTGCCACGTTATGTTAAACGGGCCACTAGATTTTTAGCATCTGGTTCTTAGACCAASAGCAATTACACATACATGTTTATTATTAACTCAGTGGTCCAAGAAGTTATGTTCCCTCCAACTAGATGATACAGCTGCTTCACAGACGTATTTACTCCTTTTATGCCCATCTTTGAAATGCCACCCCAGCCACCCCTCTGGCTCCGCCCCCTATCAGCACCAGATCCAAAGCGCAGCAGCTCTTGAACATCCACGGCTACCTTGCATATCTGAGATGCGTAGTGCAGCAGCCTCTTGGAATCGATGAGCGACTTGTGTTTGCTGAGATATTCCTTCAAGCTGCCGAAGGGGAGATACTCCATGATCAGCCGAAGGTTCTCCCGTCCTGCACAGAGCGGCAGGTTTGAGTKGAGTAAATGATCACGACGTTGAAGCATTTGTAGGATTTGAACCATCCATACCTGCACTGTAACACACTCCTTTGTATTTTACAATGTTTTCATGATGGAGGGACTTGAGGATTTCAATTTCCCGCTCAAACTCGCGGAGGTGCTCGGCTGTGCTGTGCTGCAGCTTCTTCACTGCCACCACCTCCCCCGTGCTGTCCTGCAGGGGGTCGTACCTGCACATCTCCACAGTGCCAAAGTTTCCCTGAAGAGAGAGAGAAGACAACACACAGAAAACACTTAGATACAAGAACCTGGCTGGGATAATTAAGCTAGAAATAAACAGATCCTTACTTTGCCCAGCTGCTTGAGGAAAATCAGATGCCTCTCCTCAAACTGAGCAGGATCCTGACTCGAAGACGCCCACAGGAAGTCGAAGTCTTGAGTCCTGCTGGGCACCATGTCACTTTCCGTCAGCAGCTCATAATCTGGAACATCGTGGAACATTTGGCTTTACAGGGCACATAAAACATGAACACAACCGCAAAGTTGTGTTCTTTAAAGGAATATTTAGGCTTTTTAGTTGAGGTCTAATAGTACTGATTATTATAAGTTTCTTTATTTTGTCACTATTTTCTCAACTAAAGAACACCGAGTTGTCAGGAGAATTGTAAAACTGATTATTATATATTTTTCTCCATTTAAAAAGAACTACCACTGCTGCACCACTAGGTGGCAACAACACCCAAATAAAAACGTGTCTAAATTCAGACAAAGATCATGTTTTGTTTAGCTAAACCAAAAATAAACAAAAAAAGTTTTTCTTTCTTATTTGATACCATTTATAACTTCCTCTCATTTATTATCCATTTAGTTGAACCAGGATAATGTGACAAAAAGCTGTAAAAACGTCTGTTTTGGGTTTTGAGGTGCAAAGTGAAGGTTTTAACAAGTGTTTGTGAAAATATCTGGAGTGGTGCGAACAAGACCTGCAAGTATAATAAATGTACAATAAATCCTGCTGCTCATCTAATCCCTAAATACAAACCAGGGAACAGAAGAAAAGACAAACCAGGAAAAAACACAACAGAGTTTCTGGAGTAAATAAACTTCATACACTAAAAGAATATCTAATTTCCTTAAGTTTGAGTTGTTTTCTGTTGTTTCTGTTGGCCTTAAAACGAGTTGTGACTCCAGACGGTCCGATTCGCCTCCCTACCTGGAGTGAAGAGGCTGTTCAGGTCTCTGATAATGGCTCTGAAGGAGGGTCGGTGTAAAGGCTCGTAGTCCATACAGCTGTTTATCAGATTAGCCAGTTCAGTCCATTTGGGAGCCGGCAGCTGGTGTCGGTCCTCATAGAACAGGTTCTTCTGCTCAGAACAACAACAGGCAACAACTTCAGTGCATGCGTTCAGCTTGGGATGGAAAACAAAATGTTCTGTGTAGTTTCCAAAGAGAAACCATTCATCTTACGTTTAAAAGTTAAAGCCTGTTGGTTGTTTTTAGCTATTTTTTTAAATAAAGATTTTTTTCATTCAGTTTTAGTCTTTAACACATTTTTTTTTGTCTTTTAATAAATGAAACAAAAAATAAGTAAAATTGTCTGTAAAGGAGACATGATGCTTTTAAAATCCTTCATTCTCATATTCAAATCATTCAGTTGGGGTCTATATAAACTGGAACAGCAATGCTTTCGTCTGAATTCCTCCTTATTGTAACTCCACAAGCCCCACCCCTTTTTTGAGCTGCGCTTCAGATTAACTCGTTTTGAGGCTGTCTCTATAAATCCAAATGGGGCACTTCACAGTCCGCCCCCCTCCAGCTTCCAAACCAGTTCATTCTAGATGGATAGAGGGGTTTACGACTATATAGCTGCGCAGAAACGTTTTATTTACAAACAAATTAAAAGATGTCAAGAGAGAAGAGAAGACTTGTCCATCCAGCCTGAGGAGAAYAAAGACGATAAAATTGAATTTGGTAAGTCCAGATCCTAGTTTATATTTACACAAAAGTTTCATTAAAATCATCCTCCGTAAGTAAGAAAACCTTCTTCATCAATGATGAATACTCTAATGGTTGACCTTGGAGCTGTCCAGTGTTCCGAGTGGTTTCTCTCCCCCGCTGCAGATCTCCCACAGAGTCGTCCCAAAGGCCCACTTATCCGTGGCTAAACCCAGATTCTGGGGGTTGTCGATGCACTCGGGGGGCACCCAGGGTATCCGCTCCACCAGAACTAAGATGCAGATGAGCAGAGAGACAGATGCGTTACAGAATAAAGAATCAAAACATGTAAAAATCCCYTCAGGATGGTGTTTCTGTGTTGCTGACCCTCTCTGGGCAACATGGTGATGCTGATCCCCGGATCACTGAGCTTAATGAAGGGCAGATTCTTCGCCTTCTGGTCCTTCTCTCTGATCAGGAGAACGTTCTTGGCGCAAACATTTCCATGAGTGATGTTTTTATCTTCCTGTTCGAAGACATTATGGAAACGTCAGCTAAAATCCGGACAAAAAGATGAGCAGCTTTGGTTCTTGTGGAAGTCTTACCAGGTAATGCATCGCCCAGGCTAACTGCTTCGCCACCTCTAACTTCCAGGGGACGTTAACGCTCTGCTTGTTCTTTTTCAGGTAGATATCCAGGGAGCCGAATTTACCGTATTCCTGCACCATCATGTCTGACAGGGAGAGAATTTGTTTTTTTATTATTATTTGATACCAACAGTAGCATAAAAACCAAAAAAAGCTTTTTTAATTTACATAAATATTCAGATTTCTTGATATTTGCTGTATTTCTCTTCTATCTGAGGTTCCTACAAGTTGAGTGGAACCTGATGACACTTCACTACTTAAAGCATTTTGCTGGTTATCAACTGTCTCAACCAGGAGACAATCAAAGAGCTCAAACCTAATGCAACTTGAATAAAACAGACGTTTCTGCTTAGAAATGGAACATATTTTAATGAAAAGTTGAGCCAAATCTTCCAAGAAAATAACTTTTTGTCCTTTAATATATTTTTAAAAGAAGGAAGCAATGTTTTTTCGTGTTTTCACATGAACAAAGTATAAAGTATTCTTAATTTTAGTCTTTATTTCTGGCTAATTACTATTTTTTTTTTAAATCAGGAAACGATGAAGTCTGCTTACTTTCATCACCACAAACACAAACGCCATAGTTGAGGAGCAAGTACTTGTGGGAAAGCTGACTCATCATGCTGGCCGCCTCGAAGAAAGACTACGAGGGAAGAAAAGTGAGAAGAGAATTTTAATTTGAGCCCATAAAACCTCCCAAGGTATTCATTTATTTAGAATGACTGTTTTCATTCAGTCCAACCTCAGAAAAGTTGCGATGAGCCTTGTCCAGAATCTTGATGACGACTTCGATCTTGTGGGACTCCCCATTCTCTCCGAGCTCGACCCGCTCGCCGTGGAAGATCTTAGTAAACGTTCCTCGACCCAAACATTCGGCCTGAAACAGATTTATTATGTCACTAAAATTAAAAAAGAGTGAAGGGTGTTTAATTTGGTACCACACATTTATAATTACCTTCCTGGTTGAGGTCTCAGGTTTACGTTTGACACTAGCATTTAAATCTCTTCCCTCATATACTAATCATCTAAAATGTCATTTTATCTCTTGGTAATGAGCAAACAGCAGATTTTCAGGAGTGCAAACATGTAGCCCACAAACTAAACACATCATTATGTGGTTCAGGCCGAGCACATTTGACCTCATCTAACTTCCAGTAAAACCAACAAAACAGACTCTGCCTCCAAATAACAGAACCTCCGACAGATTCCAATAGATAAAACAGTGGGTAACATAAGTATTGAACACGTCACCATTTTTCTCAGTAAATATATTACTAGAGRGGCTAATGACATGAAATTTTCACCAGACGTCAGTAACAACCCAAGTGATCCATACATACAAAGAAATCAAACCATAAATGTCCAGAAATGAAGTTATTTGTAATAATGTGGAATGGCACAGGGAAAAAGTATTGAACACATGAAGAAAGGGAGGTATAAAAAGACATGGAAAGCCAAGACACCAGCTGAACTCTCTCAGTAATTAGAAAGCAAGCCTGCCCCTTGTCWGTGCAAGTTAATATCAGCTGGTTCAGTCCCAAATGATGGCCAGGTATCACACAAGAACCATCTGATGATGGGTAAAAGTAAAGAGCTCTCTCAAGACCTTCACAACCTTATTGTTGCAAAGCATAATGATGGCATCGGTTACAGAAGAATGTCTAAACTTCTGAAGGTTCCAGTGAGCACTGTTGGGGCCATAATTCAGAAGTGGAAAGAACATCATTTCACCATAAACCGACCACGACCAGGTGCTCCTCRCAAGATTTCTGACAGAGGAGTGAAAAGAATTATCAGAAGAGTTGTCCAAGAGCCAAGGACCACTTGTGGAGAGCTTCAGAAAGACCTGGAATTAGCAGGTACGTTTGTTTCAAAGAAAACAATAAGTAATGCACTGAACCACCATGGCCTGTATGCACGCTCACCACACAAGACTCCACTGCTGAAGAAACAACATGTTGAAGCTCCTTTAAAGTTTGCTGCACAACATTTAAACAAGCCTGTGTAATACTGGGAGAATATAGTCTGGTCAGATGAGACCAACATTGAACTGTTTGGATGCCAGAATACACATCATGTTTGGAGGTCAAATGGCACTGCACATCAGCCCAAAAACACCATACCAACAGTGAAGTTTGGAGGTGGGAACATCATGGTGTGGGGCTGTTTTTCAGCATATGGTACTGGCAAACTTCAAATAATTGAAGGAAGGATGAATGGAAAAATGTACAGAGACATTCTTGATAAAAATCTGCTTCCATCTACCAGGATGATGAAGATGAAACGTGGCTGGACATTTCAGCAAGACAATGAGCCCAAACACAAAGCCAAGGAAACTCTCAGTTGGTTTCAGAGAAAGAAACTAAAGCTGCTGGAATGGCCCAGCCAATCAGCTGACCTGAATCCAACWGAAAATCTATGGAAAGAACTAAAGATCAGAGTTCATAGAAGAGGTCCACGAAACCTTCAAGATTTGAAAACTGTTTGTGTGGAAGAATGGGCCAAAATCACACCTGAGCAATGCATGCCACTAGTTTCTCCATACAGGAGGCGTCTTGAAGCTGTCATTGACAACAAAGGCTTTTGTACAAAGTATTAGATAAATTTCAGTAAGTGTGTTCAATACTTTTTCCCTGTGTCATTCCACATTATTACAAATAACTTCATTTCTGGACATTTACATCTGATGAAAATTTCATGTCATTAGCACCTCTAGTAATATATTTACTGAGAAAAATGGTGACGTGTTCAATACTTATTTTACCCGCTGTATATTCTATCTGAGCTCAAGGGGGAGTCAAACCACAACTCTGTGCAAACGTCATAAAAAAAAACTGAAGTTCAAAACAGGAAGTTCTAAAAAAAAACTTGAGGGTTTTATAAGCTGCTGCACATTGAATAAGAAGAGAGCAGAKGAACAGGTGAAAATAGATCTGAGATCCTGATTCAATGACTTCTGTTTGTCTTTCTGATCTCAAACTGCAGCAGGTTCACTCTGCAGAAGTCTGTCCTGTTTTTCACCCGCTCACAATGACAAACTTAAAACTAGCTGTGCTAACCTGTCTACAAAAGGGCTGTACACTTCCTGTTTATTTTGGGTTTTATTCCAGCCACAAAGGCTCAAACCGCTCACATTTTACACTTTACATGTAGATTTACACTTTATGAGTCTACTGTATGCGCAACAACACACTTCTTTTTTAACTGACAACATTCAGAGTGTACAAGAAGTAACAAAACAACATTTCTTATCAATCAAAGGCACAAATAGAAAACATAGAAACCAAAAACTGATGAAAGAACAGCTTGACACAGATCTTTAGACACGGCTTAAAGAAGGGTTTGAGATGAGTTAGACTTCCAAACCAGGGAAAATTTGTGACATTTTTTTATAAATATGCTCAAAATTCAAACGACAGGATTCCAMGCCTCCGGTGAGGAAAACTCTGCAAACATTCAGAGCCATTAGAGACTCCTTTAATGCAATTTTCCAACTAATCTAAGCAGTGCTGGGCGGTATATTTTATATTATGGTATTTTCAACAATTATACCAGTATCACGGTACTTGATGGTATTTTTCTTTTCATTACAGCTCAGCTGATAATAAAATGTAAAATGCTGCTTATTGATTAGCAAACCACGGTCAGCTGACGTTACTCTTTCTGCAACACAGAAACTATTTACTGACTTTTTTCTTTTACTGTACCTCTGTCTGTGTCGCTGTTTCCCTCATCTACACGTCTTTTCTTCTTCGCCAGGTTGTAGATATTAGCCACAAATTTTGGTCCGATCGTGAAGGAGGGTTGAGAAAAGATCATAATCAGGTCTATCTTTGTGTGTTATTTAATAAAGCTTAATGGGACGTCTCAGCCTCTGTGGACCAGTGAACTAAACACCGGTAAAAAACTACTTCCCCTGGGCTTTTCACAACAGAAGCACATTAAAGTCTCCATATTAACGTTGTGCGTTAAATCTAACCGTGCACGTCAATGTAGAGTTGTTTACTACATTCAGTGATGGAGAAAAGTGGACATTTCTTTTTTAACGTCAGTCAATAAAAGCAGCGGAATCACCACCAGGCGCCATTTACTCCAACAAGCTGTTCCAACAATAACATTAGCTTGCTAATGCACATAGCGGTGCTGCGAGGAAACAGGGTAACATCTCACAGGTGTACGCGATGAAATGTTACAAACGTGTTCAGGCTATTTAAACCGGTATGTCTGGTATTCAGAAAATTCATATCATAAAAAAATACAGTTTTCAGTACCAACCAGTATACCGCCCAGCACTAAATCTAAGCAGTCGCAGCCCAGTGAGGCTGAATTAAAGAAATAAGTCATTAAGCTTACAAAGAAAAGGGCCTCCTTGCGGATCTTGTGGAAGACCATCTGGCTGATGTGTTTGTGGATTGACGGAGACACAGGAAGCTCCGCCTCTTGATTATTTCTGCACACCAGCAGGTTGGATTTCTCTGAAGAGACAGAAAGATGGACGACATTTTTGAAATACAAATATATACAAACTTTAGGTTTTGCTTTTGAGCATTGAYGCTGCTTATATGGATGTGAGCTCTGACCTTTTGGGCAGGGTGGACAACATCTGGTCAGCTGAAACGTGTATCCGTCGGTGCGCAGCGCCTCCTTTTGGTAGCAGTTCAGAAGTTCTCTCAGGGTGCCGAAGCTTTTCTGGGCACCACTCAGAGTGTACTCTCCTGACTCCGTCTTCGTGATCAGACAGTGCTTATACTCCACCATGGTCTCATACTGGAAATCAATATTAGAGCGTGAACGCTTAACGCTGAATGATTTTTGCAAAAAGTAAAAAAGATGTACAAAATGTTGCAATAAAATAACAAAAAAGGCTGAAATTAGCAAAAAAAGTGGCTAAAAAAGAGCTGAAAAGGTTGAATCTAGCACAAAGAAGCAGAAAGACCTTATGTTTGAACTAAGCAGTAAGTAGCTGAAATTATCTGAAAATATATTTTAAAAAGTAGCTTAAATTGCAAAAAACAGCTGAAATAATAAAAAAGCTTACATTTGCAAAAAAGAAGCAGTAGAAACACAAAAACGTTTCAATTAGCAGATTAGCTGAAAAGAGCAGGAAAAAAATTGCAAAAAAGAAGCTGAAGGAAACTGAAATTAGCACTAAGAAGTTAAAGTAATTAAAAAAAGCAGAACAGGAACAAAAGGTGAAAAGTGCTTGAAAGTTTGAACTATTTTAAAGTATTTTAAAGATGTTGAAGACAGCTACATTCACTTTCAATACGAACAAAAATAGCAGAAAAAGGCTAAATAGCTCATAAGTATAAACTGCTGGAATACCAAAAGCCAGAATGTCCTAAAGGAGCTGAAAGATTTGATATATGAATTGTTGAAATGGCACAAACATTGTGTGAGCAGTGCTGTGTGAGTAAATGTGACCACAAATGAACCTGTGAGCATTACATGTAGTAAAGTCAGGTAAAACCCAGTATAAGTACACAGTATAGTGTCAGTGTACATACAGAACATTTTGATAGTGTTGGGTTGTCATCTTTGTGTAAAGCTCAAACTTTACTGCTCCACTTGAAAATATAAAAAAATACGTATTTTGTGGAAAGCGTAACCAATACTAGCAGTACTCACCCCCACAATAAAGGACATAAAGTACTTGTCGTAGTCCTTGGGGCTGCAGCGCAGCATGTACAGGCCTTGGTAGTTCCCTGAGCGGCGCAGCTTCATCTTTGTGAACTCCATCCTGTGATCAAAGAGACGAAGCGTTGGCTTTGCGGCTGCGTGGCAGCATGTGTGACGTGTGTCTGTGCGTGAGCGGGACACTCACGATACGGGGCCGTGGCAGCTGCTCTGAAGGCACTCGAGGAGCCTCGGCGGAGCGACCTCCCTGCACAGGTAGTGATGGGCGTCGGCGACCAGTCGGTAATACCCGTCGACTAAGGAAACAAACGAGAGCGCCTCTGCAACCGAATGAAACACCACCTCCTGTAAAGGATGCAATAAGTGTAATAAAATAAAAGTTTTAAAGATAGGTCCAAGGTTTAATGTGTGGCGATGAAACAATTCTTCTTCCTCAGCTGTGGCTGCATGTCTGAATGTTTTATTTCTAATTTTATCTGATGGATAAAATCAAAAATAATGTTTAGCTGCTCTCTCCTGTGCAGCCGCTGTGATTTCATCTTATATTAACTTWGATCATCAGCTTGTTTAAGATGATTAAAACAGCAACTTTGGGAAATATTCTGAAGATACAGCTTTTTTCATTCATTTCTTTTCAGCTAAAAGTTTTAATGAACCGTTTATTAAAATCCTTCTCAGTTTCATTGTCTTTTCTGTCAGGATTTTATTCATCGAAGTGGAAAACAGAACACTGTAAGAGTGAGTTTCTGTTTGGTTTAATGTTTGTTCTGATTGTTTTTGGGTCACTGTAAGCCACAATATGTTGTTTTTATCAGAGGACAACATACTGAGCCGCATTACGTCACAAAATATTCACTTAACTAAACAGTGAAAGTGTAGAGAACAGTCCCAATACCAGTTTTTCTCAAATCGAGTACAAGTACTTACTAAGAACTTAAACATAACACAAAGATTAAAAAACACATTTCTTTTATTTAGAACAAGGTGGCTCTCTAAAGGCCTACAGCCCCTCTAACTGGATCAAATCAAACATAAATATCAAATGATATATACTGTTGAAACCTTTAAAAGTAAATTAAATTAACAAATTAGATTATTTTTCAACTTAAGCACTTCTAAAGCATGGAACTGACAAAGTTTTCATTTGAAATGTAAAATAACACATTCAAATGAGTCTCTATACAATAATATATACTGGTATTGGTATCAGGGCATTTTGTACAGGTACACAGCCATTTCGGATGTTATCAGTCCATTAAATGAACGTTATTAGTGGTTATCAGTTCCATAGAATGGCTTTAAAATGTCCCRACTGTGCCGTCTAGCAGGTTATCAGTCCCATAGAAAGGCTTCAGACTGTCCCGACAGTGCCCCCTAGTGGGTTACCAGTGCCATTTATGTTGGAATGCAACAATCTGCTACCGCCAGAGTCCGGTCTACTTTATCGTAGCCCATGTTATTTTCTCTAAAATTAACTTTAGTGGCTTTATGCCTCATTTGGCGGCACGATGGCTCAGTGGTTAGCACCGACGCCTCACAGCAAGAAGGTCCTGGGTTCGATCCCCGGTTCGGACCTGGG